GTGAAAGCGAATGCAGGTTTTTAAATGTGGTTGATTACAGTGAGCACCGCTGTATAGTAACCTGTCGCAGCTTCAGAGAACCTGGCCGAGTTGTAAAGCACACATTGCAGTTTAAAAATGTAGCACAGATCATTCTATTTGTTGTCTCGCTGGAAGGATCATCAATTCTGCCTGCTGACAAATCCCTCCTAGCCAAATATCCACAGTGCTTAGATTGCCAACTGCTTTTTGACATAATTCAGGTTTGTTTAATCCACAAAATAACTGGCATTTCTTCCTTTAGATCTGTCGCCTAAAATTCCCCATCTAAGCTGTCACAGCTTCGCATTGATGAAACTAATCAGCATTTGCTTTGCTTCCCGTCTGCCAGCACAAATTGTACCGCCGGTCCAAGCTCCTGTCTGCAGCAATAGGCTTCACAAAAGTATTTTTCATAAATTGACATCTCGCTCTCCTGTCCTAATACATGTACATAATTTTGTCTTACTGCTAGTTGAAAGGTCGGGATTTGTACTATTTTAGAACTCTCATTTGGAGATTTTTCTCATTATTTTTTGCTGCAAAGATTGGAGCATTTCTGTACAGAAAATCATTTGAGCAAAACGTGTGATTAAGTGATTGAAAATGTTCATGCTGTTTTTAGTTTTTGGGTTTAATATTTCTAATACATATTATGAATGTCAAACAAATAATAGTATAGGAATACCCCTTGTAGGGGATGTTACATGAAACCAGCACATTCCAGGCGACAGGGTTGAGCTAGCAAATGTGAATTTGGGATGACTATGAGAATGCTGCTGGTTCTAATTATGTGCTAGTGAAGCCTGGTCACTAGCACATAATTGCCCCCTCAGTTTCTAATAAGTAGCCAAGGTGTGATGGGATGGCCAGGATTTAAAGGTATATTTTATATGACCTACATTGTTGTGATCTGTGCACTGAGCAGTAAGATGAGTCAAAAGCCAGAAGGAAAGCTATACTTGGAACATCTGCATGTTGATACCAGGAGTAGGCAACCTTTTGAGTCTGGTGTGCTGAACACCTAAGAGTGCCAGATTGGTATCAGTTCAGCAAACCAATCCAGGATTGGTGTCAGTTCAGCAAACCAATCCAGGATTGGTGTCAGTTCAGCAAACCTATCCAGGATTGGTGTCCGTTCAGCAAACCAATCCAGGATTGGTGTCAGTTCAGCAAACCAATCCAGGATTGGTGTCAGTTCAGCAAACCAATCCAGGATTGGTGTCAGTTCAGCAAAAAAAAACAGGATTGGTTCAGTAAAATATCCTCAGGATTGGTGCCAATGCAGTAAAATTCCTCCAGGATTGGTGCCAGTGTAGTAAAATGCCCCCCAGGATTGGTGTCAGTGCAGTAAAATACCTCTAGGATTCGTGCCAGTGCACTAAAATACCTTCAGGATTGGTGTCAGTGCAGTAAAATACCTCCAGGATTGGTGTCAGTGCAGTAAAATACCCCCCGGATTGGTGTCAGTGCAGTAAAATACCTCCAGGATTGGTGCCATTGCACTAAAATACTCCCAGGATCGGAAGAAAAACTGCTCAGTGTGAAAGCAGCCTTAAAAGTACAGGATCCCGACAGCTTCTGCTTGCTACATGACAGCGGTGCTGCAAGTTGCCAAACCTTGATTAATTGCCTTCAAGATAATTGAAATGCATGTTACAGGTGTGACACTTTGATTAGGAATCTTTGATTAGGGCTCAGGGATGTTGGATAAATCACAGCTAATGTTCCAGAGCCTTTAGGAATGTTGGTTCAATATTACGTGTGTTGGTTAGCTTTTAGGTAATAAGGAACCCATTCATTTAATTTTGTACATCAAGTCTAACCTTCAAGCCTTGACCATGGTCTGCTTAGCAGTCCTAGAACGGAACTGGAACCTGGATAGTGTGTGTTTTTTTTTTTGTTTGGTTTTTTTTTTATTAGAACATTTTTTTTTTTGTGGTAGAGAAGGCATGCTATGGGTTCTTGCAAACTTTAATGGCCATGATCTTAAGCCAACCATAGATGGAGCGATTTTCTTTCCTGCAACCACGGGTTCATTGGGGAATCCCTCCCATGGAGCCATTGTGTTCTCCTGACAGGAGCTCTCCCTGCTGGGAGAACACAGTGATTACTGATAGCAGCTATAGTAGCTACTAGTGAAAATCCCATGTAAAATCCAACAGGCTGAATGTACCAAAGTTGATCGATCAACCTGGGTTCATCTGGCCTGCCTATACATGGTTCGAGTCTCGGCTGGATCCTGCAGAACCGGCCGAGATTTGAAACATCTATGGCTTGTTCAGCAGCTTAAATAGGACAAGAGAGAGCAGGTAGCCTTGTCTTCTCTCTCTGTAGATGTTGAAGATAACTGATTGGTGTCTTGGAAAATTGGCTGAGACTGAGGGGTAGGGATATATTGATGAAATTCACTGATGATCTCCCAAAGGCCTCATCTGTTGACTATATACTGGGTGTAGTCCCATGAAATTGTGTCAAATCTAGTAATATCTACAGTAAAAGTCCTGGTGTAGAGCAGCAGTGTTAGGCATGGGTTAAAAGAATTATGCTCCCTTAGAGATTTCTTCCATTTTCTCATTCATTAATTACTCGGCTTTTCATGTTTGTCAGAATTTTGTGTCAGTCTGCAAACTCTTCCAGCATCCAGACAGGCATAGCAGTGTGTGCAGTAAGAGGAGGTAGGATTTCCATGTTCATGTTCTTGCATAATAAATACTAAGAAGGAATAGGAGGTGATCGGAGGGATGTTTATTCAGGAAATATTACACTTTTCTTGGCTCATCATCTGAGGTTGGTATAGGGTGAGGAAATGTCTAGAGTGGTAGAAGTGGCAGAACTTTAGAGTAATGAAAGCTGCCAACTTCAGAACAAATTCTGTGGAAAAGAATCCCCAAATGTGGCTCTGCTTTAAGCAGCTGACCCACTGATGGATGTGATTATAAGGAAAGTAGGCTTACAGGGTAACCCCATTTTCATGGAAAAAAATATATAGCAAATATAAAAATAATACATAAACAAGTGCTACTCAAGCCATGTTGTAATTTAAGGTGATTGTTATTTTTAAGAGAGTGTACAATCATGTCATATTTACCTGCTCTGTGCAATGGTTTTGCACTATGTAGCCCCTAGTCTCCTCTTCTTTGGTCCCCTGCTGGTGCATCTAGCTCCTCCACTCCGCCAAGTGCCCATATAGCAAGCTGCTTGCTGTGGGGGCACTTGTGTGGGCTTACTCCCAAGCAGTGCAGTGTGTGTCCATTAATGCAAAGAGTGTGGCTCAGCCCCGATCCCTCCTCAGTGACTGTGACACAAGGGACATGATGTTAGGAGGAATGATGGCAGAGAGATGAGCCCATTAGTCTTCTGATTCTTCTTTTATTGTCCAGTCACAGGCTAAGGGAGGGACAAGACCTATTTGAGTTACTTAAATACAACAAAAGTGAAAACGGTTTCTTCCACTGACACCCACAACAGGACAACTTTCCTTTTGCTGACACCAACAATGGGGCATTACTCCTGTTGACATGAACAGTGGGGCATTATTTCTCCCACTGATATTAACAATGGGACACCCCACTGATATCAGCAAAGAGGCACTATTCCTCCCAACAATACCAGTGATGGGGCACTAGTCCTCATCCTACTGACTACAGGCATGATCACATGGACGGTTCTGACCAATCAGATGCCATCTAGCCCATAAAGTCATCCCTGCAAGGAGAGGAGAGAAAGCAGCTTCACAGCTCTGAGGATTTCGAATCCCCGACGCTTGCTCTCTCCTCCTTTTGCAGAGATAACAGTACAGGGAAGACGGCATCTGATTGGTTAGCACTGTCCATGTGACATTGCAGACCAGTCAAAAGCCCTTTAGCCTAAACTGTCATCCCTGCAAGGAGAGGAGAGAAAGCGGCAGGGATTTCAAATCCCCACCGCTTTCTCTCTTCTCCTACCATTGAGAACATGGACCATCTGCCTCCAAAGTATACATCCCCCACATGCCACACTCTGCTTAGCATGGGATGCCTGCAGGGAGGTTTCTCGCACCACTCCTGTGGGAACTCTGGCTATGACAAGCCTGGGTTCACACAGGAGCAGTGGGGAAACCGCATGCAATTTGGACAGGAATCACATTCTTGTTCAAACCGCATGCTAATCTTTGAGGTGCAATTTGTATTGACGCAAATTGCACCACAAAGTATTGGTTTCCAGCATCGGAAGCATTTTCATGAGTACTCGTGAAAATACTCGGTACTGGCACTGATATTGGTATTGGTGCATCCCTAGTTGTAATTATGTATTATACAAGGGGATGTTCCTCCTCCTCATGTCTAACTGCACTGACATTGAGGCTCTGTTAAAATCTGGACATATTTGCTTCATGGGCAGAATCACTGCGATTCTGCCCACGATTCCAAAACACTGCAAAAATTACAAATCACACCATGCCTACCATGCCTGTTCAGGTGCCATTCATTTTTTATGCCACCTAAAACACGGTGTGGTGTTGCTGCAATTGACGCACAATAAAGGCAAACCGCATTGCACGAAGCTTGTCGCCCAAAAAAAAGGAAGAGGAGCATCTTTTGGGGTGACAAGCTTCGCGAGAAGCAGTTTGTGTGATTTATTTTGTGACAATAGTGGCAGAATCGCACCATGGTTTAGGTGCCATTGAAAATGAGTGGCACCTGAACATTTGTGGTGCGAGTTGTCATTTTTGTACAATGTTTTTGGATCGTGGGCAGAATCATGATGATTCTGCCCACAATGCAAAACACCCAGGTTGTGAACAGAGCCCTAGGGACAGATGTAACTATGTAGAAATACCCATACCTGGAATTCATCTTTAACCTCCCTGGCGGTATTCCTGAGTGTAGCTCGGGGTTAACTGTCAGTACCAAAAGCGGTAACCCTGAGCTACACTCGGGATTACTCTGCAGTGTTGCTCAGGGATCCCTCCAGCACTTACCTTGTCCTTCGCTCCCACGATGTCCCCCCTGCAGCATCCCCGGCCGTCTCCTCCGGCCAGTGCCGGCATCCGTCTTCTGGGTTCCCTTCCCTGCGAGGGTCGGGACGTATGGGGGACGGAACCGGCGGGAAATTCAAACATTTTAAATGTGACATTCACTCAATACACTAAAATCACATAGTATAACATTACTGTATCAAGCCATTTCACATACATTTTGTCCCGAGTGCTTTGTCCTGTGCCCTGCCTGCATTTTTACCGTTCTTTCTGCCTGGAAACTGAGAGAAGTCCATGGCGTCCAAAAAAAGCGTCCCTTTAGGTCAAAAGCGGTTTTAGACCAGCTAGAGAACAGCGATAGTAAATTAGAAATACTTGAAGAATTGAGAGATAATGATTTGTGGGGAAATTCGTCATCAGTCACTGAAAACAATTTTGCGACTAAGCTCAGTGATGTGCGAACTTGGCGCTTTATTTCAAATTTCAATGTTTTTGGTTTGATTACATTATTGAATTAAATGTATTATATTATTTTTTATGATTATTATATTATAATTTATGATTTTGTGTTTCAAATTTTATCATACCCGGGATGTTTACTAGACTCTTGTTCAGACAGATTTCAGTGAGCTATTCCTAAGAATTACAGGCCTACAATAAAAAAAACAACATATTTCCATGCAAAAAAAGTACCGCTTTGAGCACAGAAATATTGACATAATCAGACCGCTAGGGAGGTTAAAGCGGGGATCTAGGCTCCCCCCAAAAAATTAAGTCAACAGCTACAAATACTGTAGGTAGCTGCTGACTTTTAATATAAGGACACTTACTTGTCTAGGGATCCAGCGATGTCCTCACCTGAGCCGATTTTTAAAATCTGTTTCAGGGGCAGGGGCAGGCGCCGTCATCTTCAGTGAGGGAAACCGGCAGTGAAGCCTTCACAAGTGGTTTCATACTGTGCCAATGCGTGAAGCGCACTTTGTTTGTGAACCTGTGAAGAGTCCCAGAAGGCTGCAGGGGAAGGAGGTACATGCTCCCCCCCAAAAAAGTGCCAAATGTGGGGTGGATGTAAACAAGCGGAACTTCCCCTATCGGGTGAAGGTACAGATAATAATTTCTTATATGTACTCCTAACATGGAATACTTTCTATTTAATGTGAACATTATGTCTGACTGGTTCATTGATGAACATTTTATCATTGACCGCGATAGAAATGGCTGTAACAAGTTAGGTGTGAGCTGCAACTTTCCAGACAGAGGCATCATTATTCCTGGTAGTGATTGTTAGCATGCTGGTTGTTTAGCAATATACTTTTAAAGTTTACCTACACATTCCCTTTTAACTAGCATTTCATGGAATTCTGTAGAATCTGTAATCAAGATCAGAAAAAGTACACCCTGCCAGCAGGTTTTATGAGGATACTGCAAATCTGTAGACTGTCTTGGGGAAACGGAACACAAGAAAACGAAATAATGACTGTGAGGCTTAATAATGTGATTGAAGGCTTTGTTTACGTTGGAATGAATGTTGTCATTTTGGCAGCCCGGAGACCCTGGTGACACTGCAGCCTAGACATAATTTCTTTTTCTCTGACATTAATGTATATGTTTTCTTTGTACTCGGCTTAGTTGTCCAACCTCCAATTTCCGAAACTGTCCCGTGACTTGTCTTTCCTAAGCACAGTTCCTAGCGTATGTTTGTGGGTTTTTTTTTTTTTCCCCTAAATTTCTTTTCCCGCTGGCATTATGTTTATAAGAACTGCATTGCGAGATGGTTTCTTTTTTGGCAGCTGGCTTTCTTGGGAGTCTGCAGAAAATTTTGCGATTCCAATTAGTTTATTGTAGCAGAAAAAAAAGTGAACCAAAAAATGGCTTTGCTGAAAAAGGATTGCTACTTGTCATATCCATTCCAGTACCTCTTAATTAAACGAACAATGTTAGGTTTGTCTGAAAGTAAATTCATATATTGCAAAGCTTAACCATATGTTAGAGGTTGAAAACCTTACATATACCCAGTTAAGTGACTGGCCTCATGTGATACACAGAGATGAAGCAAATCTGCTACACAACTTGTACCTGTTTATCTGCAGTCTTCTCTCTACATCCCTTCAAAATCCAGAACATATAGAGCTGTTTGAAAAAAAGATTGCGGAGAGCAGAAGGTACACTCTGCAGAGCTCAGTGAGGAGAGCTCTAAGAGCTGATTGGAGGGAAGAGACACGCCCCTTTTTCACACCACACAGGAATATAGATGAGGCTGTCAATCTTCTGGAGGTCCCACCCCGTCACCATTTTTTCTTGGAAAAACTCATCACAAGTGATTCATGCTGATAGCAGAGAGAAATGACACTTAGTGCTCTTAATTTAGACAAGTACACACTATAGAGCACAAGTGTCAAACTGGCAGCCCTTCAGCTGTTGCCAACCTACAAGTCCCATGAGGCATTGCAAAATTGACAGTTACAAGCATGACTCCCAAAGACAGAGGCATGATGGGACTCGTAGTTTCGCAACAGTTTGACACCCCTGCCATAGAGGGTTGTGCTTTGTTCATATTTCACATCTGAGGTTTACAACTACTTTAAGCTCAACTCCAGGCAAACAGATAAGAACACAAATAAAATACATATATGGGAGCTATTTAGCCTAAGTTCACACTAGTGCTTCTGCATAATTTAGCATTTTTTCAGCACATTTTTGTGGCTTGCTTTTGTTTGTAGTTTATCATGCACTTCCATTGAAGACTATTGGACCGAAAACTCACTATGCTGTACCAAAAGAAGGGCCTGCACCTTTTCAAAATCCCACTGCACCTCATTGCAATGATGTGAACAGGCACCATAGAGAATAAATCCATTTCCATTGTCATGCATTGCAGCATGGTGGCAGACGCAGGGGAAATCACACTAATGTGAGCAAGGCTCCCCTCCCCTTGTCCAATTAAATACTTAAAGAATGCTAAACGGAGATGTGTTAATTGCCATAATTCATTCACATAAATCATAGATATGCCACTGTATTTTTTTTTTTTCATCTTCTAAGTAACTACTTTCTGCAGCACTGTTTTGTGGACATATAATATTTCCCTGTTCTTTGGCCTCTGCAGGGAAAGATCCTTGGGAGGGCCTTCTATTAGGGCTCGTTCACACTTGGCTGTTTTACCAACGCTTGCCAAACGCCCCTATAGCGTTTGGCAAGCGTTGGTCCGGCGTTTGCGGAGCGTTTTTAACGCTCGGCAAACGCTCCGCAAACGCCGCATGCGCGGTTTAGCGGCGGTTGCTAGGCGTTTGCCGAGCGTTAATAACGCCCCACAAACGCCTATAATGCAGTTTGAGTGGTGTTACCGCTCCGCAAACGCCCCGCAACCGCACCGCAAACGCCGGCCGGGCGTTTGCGGAGCGGCACCATAGACGAGAATAGGAGGCTTCAAAGCCTCCTGACTCGTCCAGAGGCGTCCGTTTTGCCACGACGCGACGCAAACGCTCCCGTTAGAACAGCACCATGTGCTGTAATGTGCAGAATTGGCAGAGGCGTTTGGGAAGCGGTAAAAAAAAACGCTTCCCAAACGCCTCTCTGCCGCCTGCACACAAGGCTAGTGTGAACGTAGCCTTACTGCAGTATGAGTCTGTCTGCAAAGCCCTGATTGGTGCTGTGCCAGTCACATGACAAGAAAAATAGTTTCAGAAGGGCAATTCAAATTAAATTATAAATATAAATTGTTTTATAGCTCCCTAGAAATCTTTATTGAATATCAAATGTGTATTTTGTGTGCATTAACATGGTATAGGCGGAGTCAAAGATGACTGACACTAGCTTTCATTTTGTTAACATGGCATTTGCATCCAAGGTTCTTTTTTGCTAGGTATTAGCAATTACAGTTAATATATATAATATTGATTTAGATTAAAACTGAGCTTTTTTTGTGAGTTTCTTAGGGAATGTAATAAATCAGCATACTATATTCTGCCGCCATAGTGTTTAGTAATAGGAGGACATTTAGGAGGAGGAATGTCATTCATCACTGTGTATACGCCCACTTGTGTGACTCTATAGTTACATGGGCTTCACAGATGAGAAAAGAGAAAATGAACAGCATAGAAAGGAACTGAAACTGGAGCATGCTCAGTAGATGACAACAGTTCTACATAATGTCAGGCTGCAGTGGGGACAAAGAGAAAATGAGGACAGCTGAAGGCAGGATCAACCAGGTATATTTCACTCTACACAAAGCGCATGCTTTAGTGGCTTTGTGAGCATGCACACTTTTATATAGCATGTAATGAGAGATTTTATAGTCTGGGTTTCATGACACTTTTAATAAAACCTTTTCTGTTTTTCACTGCCTTAGTCATTTTTGACCCAGTGATGTCATCAACGGGTGTCTGTGCTTCTCTATGTAATACAGGCAGATCATTACTGGTAGGAGGGGCTAGCAGGGTGCTGTACATAGCTTCCTGGAAACACCACAGCACATTGACTTTGTAGTTCTCAATAGCCCTCAGCCTTGATGTAAGCAGTGGGCAGGTTCTTGGGAGGAGTTTTGCAATTATTAAAAAGCGTTGATGGATGTCAGTCTGGAAGAGTGGGTGTGATTAGGCAAGCTCAGTGAAAGAAAGGAGCGAGCAAGGGGAGAAAGGGCCGACTCATTTTCTGGCTGGAGAACATCCAGCATCATCTAGCCCTATTGGACTTGCTGCAGCTTCTAATACATACTGGAGGTTATTTACTAAAGCTGGAGAGTGCAAGATCCGGCTCACTTCTGCATAGAAACCCATCAACTTCCAGGTTTTTTGCCAAAGTTCAAAGCGGAGCTCCACCCAAAAGTGGAAGTTCCGCTTTAAGGACTGGTCCTCCGCTCCCGGTTAAGGGTACCCAAAATTGACAGGTACCTACTCACACTTCCACTGCAATCGCCAATGCGATCAGAAGCGGAAGTTGTCCTCCCCCCTCCCTTCCCGTAGTCTTCGGTGACACAGTGCAGGTCCCAGGAGACTACAGGACCATGCACAAAGCGCAGTGCTACTTGCACATACGCAGTGAGCACCTAGCTGTGAAGCCGCAAGCTGTCACAGTTGGGTGCCCACACTGAAGATGCCGGCTCCGGGAACACAGGGTGGCCAGTGAAACGGGCGGGGGGGGACACACCACAGGATCAAGGGACAGGTAAGTGTACCTTTTAAGTCAGCAGATACAGTTTTTGTAGCTGCTGACTTTTATTTTTTATTTTTTTTCTATTTTCACTGGAACTCCAGTTTAATTGAACAAGCTGAGGTTAGGAGCCCATTGGTTTCTATGCAGAAACGAGCCTGATTTTGCACTCTCCAGCTTTAGTAAATAATCCCCAGTGTGAGAAGCTCACAGTGTGCAGTAAAATCAGAGCAAGCCC